TAGATGTCAAGGGTACCATTACATTAGTATCATGCCGTCTGTTTCACTTGTACACTTTTATTTAACAACAAACCTTGATTCGAGTTGCATTCTTATATTGCCCAAGACCATTAATGATCGGTATTACGGATAAGTGTAAAAGTGCTAGTATGTACTTTATCTGATTCGGCACTAATATTTGTCGTTTACACATACATTATATGTTCTCATTGATTATATGTACTATATTATTAAGATGAAATTACGAAAAGATCAAAGTTGCTCCAAATTTTTAATTAAGGATGACAGCAATCCCGTCTCTGCATTTATACAATCTGGGCGTCGATTCCCGAAGATGTGCTTTGTTCACATCGACTGACCTTGATGTGAACGTGAATGTCACTGCATTCTCGAACCTACCACATCGAGCGAAAAGTTGATCGAACGCAACGACTGGTCTAGACCACTCGTTGCGTGAAAGTCATGCGCAGTTGCAGCTACAGGACGAATCTTGCAGCTGTTTTGCTATAGAGGTTATTCAGTGCCCTAACCTATAAATTCACATATTTTCTGTGAAATAAAACATGGAATTGTTCGAAGATTTTCTGGTTATTAATAGCAGTATCCTTAATGTAAAAACAAAACAAAATACAAAACTGACAAATGACAGTTCAATTCATATCTGTGATTGGTTAGCGCATAAAGTTTGTCCACGATTCGGGAATGCAGCTAAACTTGAACTTATCCCTATCGTATACGATCATGACGTCATGGCAGCCGGTCACATCACATGCACATCACGGAGCAGATCGACTAACTTCGGGAATCGATACCCAGGCCTTTCCCTTGGTGCATCTAAAACTGTTAGATATATTAAATTGCACTAGCGCCATCTTATCTTCTATGTATATAGATTTCATTATTTCAAAAATTACTCCAGGTAGCAACAAGAATTTCTCACAGTATGAAACCAATTGTATGAACGGTATATTATGTGATCAAAAATGAGCTGCTGTCGAGTCACCTTTGGAATTTGTTTACGTGGGAAATCGTACTTAACTTCCATTTTCGATCGCCCTTTATAACTTTACAAGAAATGAAGAAACACACACAGAAACAAAGCATAGGTATCTGAAACGCTCATGTCAGTATGTAGTGACGTATCAGTGAATACTGACGCTGCTGGACGAGATAAAGGAAAATTGAGCGAGTCAACACAAAGATAGAGAACAATTATTACTGCGGAGTGAGTTTTTGACTGCACTATTATACATGTTAAGTTTATCATGTATTTTTTAATAAGCCGAAAACTATGGCATAAGGCAACAAACAGAATTTTGAAATTCTGGGTTGGGATAGTGAGGAGGCTAATATTCGGGAAGGTCTTACGTTTTTTCGTAACCGGCCTTGCTTCCTCTTGCTACCCATATCGCACCCGCGCCTGCGTCTGTTACTATATTACTCTTATAATTCCATGTTTCACATTCCAGGACTGTATGGCCTTCCCAATCTGTCTCCCCGCAGTCCTGACACTCTTCGCTTGGTCTTCTCTTTAATCTGTGCGGGTACACTCTGTTTACCCCATTCTCGACTAGGAACTGCTGTACCAGATGATATCCAAATTTCCCATATTTTTCTCCACCCTCTTTGATCCCAGTATTCTATTCCAAGACTGTTTCTCTTCCTACTCTTCCTACCATTTATTTAATGTTTCGGCCCGGCTCTCCTCTACTAACAATCTCAGCGCGATTGTCCGCGCTATCACGAAAAGGTCTTAGGTGGCCACTGTTCCATAGGCAGAGGTACAGTCACTGACTGTGGCCATAATGCTCCATGTCGGCCATGTTTTTTTCCAATTTATCATTGAGCTGATTGGTTTAATCCGAGGTTTAATCGAATTCGGAGATTATGCTGTGGTTACAATTGTCACAATTGTGTCCAGCATGATAAATTTATCACCTTAGTTTCCAGGTTAATTTCCACCAATCCGATGTATTTGGTCAAAACATGGCGGATCTCTCAACTAATCATAAAAAATAACACCACCGTATGATCACGCTGTCCCCTATAGCACCTGCTATGGGCTATGGGCACTTTTTCGGAATCTGTTATCAGAATTTCGATAACAGATTAGATGTAGAAGCTACAGGCTACTACTTGTTTATTTCTTATGCACGCCATATTGGATTTTCGGAATAAGATACAGGATTCAAAATTTGAATGCATCGCCATCATAGCCATGTTGATACAGCAAATATCTAGTTACCCGTGGATGTTTTATGGAGTAATGAATGTCATTTAATTTTGAAATTTTTCTTGCAAATTTGTATAAAAGTATAGTGTGACACGTCATTATTTTTCTTTTTTTGTTCTCTATCTCATTCCGTAAAAATTCAGTATGGCGCCCATAAGTAATAAAGAGAGTACCATGTATCTTCTATATCTAACGTGTTATGGAAATGCTGATAAGTGATAACAGATTCAGATTTTCCGAAAAAAGTGCCCATAGAATGGGAACCGTCCATTTCCGACAGTTAAAGCCAGGGAAAATAAAAACGAAATTTGACATTTTCAGTTTTTCGGTGATATCTCGGTTATTTTCAAAGATTTTTCAAAAATTTTAATTGTATTTTTTTAGTCACTTAAAGGGGCAACTTTGTCCCCATTCAACTTACACCGAGACCATAAGCTACGAGAATCCGCTCGCTAAGAGGTCTTTGAAAGTGTTTTAGAATCTAGAAAATTGGTTAGGCGACATTCACGTCTAATTTTAAGAGTAATGCTCTTCTAGAGATTTCTTCAAGAGTCTTTACTAGCATGAAGAATCTGTAAGGTTATTCCAGAAGCTTCACAAGTTTTATAGAGCTCTCCAACTTGGGTACGAGCCTTAGAAACTTTTACTAGTCTCAAGTTCCCAAATGTTTTTTTCTCAAGAATTCACTTCCACATCTTTTTGGGGACTTTTTCCTGAGCTGTTAATAAACTGAACAAAGATTGTTTACTTTCCAGCAGCTTTAAAAGCTTTTGAAAATCTCTAAGTCTTAAACAGTGGCGGACTGGCAAATTGAACTGGCCCGGGCAACCGAACAGCACCGGCCACATAACGGGGGGTTGGATCCGAAATTTTTCTCCAAAGTAACCCCCTAAAATAGCATTTTAAAGCATTTACACTTGTTCCAAAATCGATTACAAATGTAGTTTTTTGGGGGGACACCCGACACCGTACGACCGATGACCGCACCGGCGCCGGCCCAAAGTACAGCGGCCCACCGGGCACTTGCCCGGTTGCCCGCCGGCCCAGTCCGCCACTGGTCTTAAAGAGTCTTCAAAAATCTATATGATTCTCCATTGGGTCTCGAAAAGTCTCGCAAGGTACTCCAAAGACTTCCTAGATGCTTTCAGAACCTTTAATTCGTTTTGGAGGCTTTGAGAGGCCATAACTTATTTATTTATTTAAAAAAAAGCTATTCGAGATACCTAATTAAATAAAATGCGACGCGAGTAATTTGGGGTGGGCCTGCGCCACGTCGCCTTGTATAAATAATCTAGGTTTTGGATCGAGTTAATAGAAACCTTGTATTACAGTATCATGAAGGAGTGAATGATCTTTACCCCCATCTTCATCCCGTAAAAGTTCTTCCAACACTAAAAATATAATTTTGTATTGCTGTCTGTTTGTCCGTGTGCACGATAACTTTGATTAGAAACGTCCGATCGCTTTGAAAATTTGTGCACATGTCCTTAAAGATATAAGAAAGGTCGCTAGTGGTTTTCACTCACATAGACTATCGGATCAAAAAGTTAGATCTCGAGGATCGTTTAGTATGTAGCTGTATCGAATTTTTATAAATGTATGCCTAATGTACTGATAAATTGATCCCGTCAGGCTTCTGACTCAGACTAACCCTTCCCCCCACCGATTATGCGTACAGATCTGCTGGAATGTAGCTGAGGTCATCAATCCAAGTTCCAAGTTGATCCACACGAACTGTATTGATACTTCAGTTGCCATCGATATAAAGTAAAAGCTTCATTCCTTATCTTTATCGATTTTGGGTGTTTTATCGTTTTTGTAACATGAAGTACAGTCTTGATCCCGATTTTAGTTGTTCCTGACTAAAATTGATCCATTAGATTTTCGCTTATGTCGCACAGGAAACAGTTGAACATCAGGTAACTAGCTACATTTAGCAATAAATGTCGGTTGCCGCAAATTACAAGCAATAACGAAATACCTACTGTAATATTTAGTTTTCTCTATCGAGTAAGTACGTTTTGCTGCTTCCCCAACAAAATTGGTAAATTTTGCGAGAATATAATTGCCCAAACCACAGATTATCCTACAATCTGTGCCCAAACAGTTTGTTGATGTCCAATGAAATAGTTACAAAGAAGAGTTGTGATCATCGATCAAATTCGAAAGTAGCACGTACCTGACCTGACTTGAACCTCAAACAAATAAATTTTACTCCGTGTCCATCGATGCAATGCCTTGATCCACCCTTCAAGTGAAATTGGATTTTGAACGCTAGAAAATTTATTATAAAAACTACCTCCTACCATGTGTGAATCTAGCTTCCTATTTCTTTGCTGCTGGTTTGGGTGACCAAGGAAAGCTTATAATGTTTTCTTAGATGTTTGGCATTGTCCAAACCAGTTATGTAGTTTTAAACAAACAAATAAATAACATCTGAATGGCTCAGTTGACCCACAGTATTCATTAAAATTAATGTAAGAATTTATGTGTAATAAATGAAATGCAAAACAAAATTTACATGCTTAAACGACATCACTTTGCAATCCCCACCCATGTCTCTTACAATTAAAATCTACAAGTTTACAAAATATTCGTTTAATGGCGTCTACGCCGAAATATGTAAGAAACAAGAGTGGCCATTAAGTGTGATTAGAGTCTGTGATACTATAATTTTCTAATCAAGCACTGAGACAAAACTGTTTCATTTGACCTTTGCCTGTAAAAATTTTGATCTAAATTACTAATGCTGTCCTGTTTGTTACAGCGAGCCATCCAGCAACAACAATTGTCGCAAGGTAAGTAATTTTATTATACTTTATCCACTTTGATACCGAACTGTTTAAAATTGGCGCTAGTTTGTGCGAGACGATTTACAGATTTCTGCGTTGCGTAGTACGCAAATGCCAACCATTGTTGATAGATGTCGCAACGTTCTACTTATTTAACTTTGAATAATCAATACTTAATTATGGATAACAACGTCATATTTTCGGCGCTAAATATTTGATTCGATTGTAAAAACCGCTGGCGGGTTTCTCAACACAAACTTAAAGCTGATGTGGCTGTATTTGGCCAAATCTATTTCATTATGCCAGGGAACAAAGTTGACGATGTTTACTTTAAAATGTGCTCATTTCCTTGTAAACAACGATCTAGGTGCTCCCCTTTAATTAATTTACAAACTTAATTTCTATGGTCACGCAACAACTACTTTCTACACAGTAGGATTTGGGAAGATTTATAAAAATCAATAGCAGTTGAATAGATGATGCTTTTAGGATAAATTATTAACCAAGACAATTGAAATCGACACACTATCGCGACAGCAGCTAACTTTCCTACTTCTATACTATAACAGAACTTCTTTTAGCTTGTAACTGGACCTAGGTACGAGATCTAAGTTGAATTAGGAATTATAAAATAAATTGGTATATCTCTATATGCACAGGCACAGATTACATGTAGTGTAAATGTAATCTATACGCTATAAAATTGTTTAATCTGGATAATTAATTGTACTCAGACTTAAAACGAACGCCTAACCGTGTTAATGATTTTAGACATTCTGTCCGTCCGTCCGTTTGCGTACATGATAACTCGCGAACGGTTTCGAATTTTTCAATTCTATTGTCAGTATTTTGTTTATCATCGCCCAAGGAAGAACTGATTAAATTTTTTGTGGCCCAGGAGCTCGTTTGCTAGATTTGTTATAAGTTTACCAACACGGTTACAAATAAGTACCAAATACTGCTCTAACTGCTGTCTTATCAAAATGCTCGGGCTGGATCGCGTGGTTATAAAGTGTGTTGGCTAAAAGTCGGAAATATGTGGACTTCGCGAGTAATACCATTGTAATATGTAGTCTCTGTAAGAAAGGTGCTCTCAAAAGCCGTGTACTGGTATATTCGTGAATCCTATATCCAGTAGACCGTTTCCTCTACATTTATCGACAGATGACAGTTTTCAAAGTGGATCAGTTTAAATTCGTTCAAGTTAATCTGCAACATTAACAACATTAATGTTGATCGACGAAACTGATGAAACCGATTGACCGATGAGAATGTTATCGGTATTTGACTAATTTATCTTGAAAACGAATCTTTATAGGGGCACTTCCAACTTCGAAACTAAGATTTACGAGATTTCCAATTATCTAATATTTTCTCCGCCGAATCCCAAGCGGTTTTGTTTAGTGACAAATTAATTGGGTGTTATTATAGACTCGCTGATTAGTTTTAGTTGTACAGAAATGTCAGATATTTACGGGTAACTAAATTTTGTTTGGACGAGGCCACGAACGTAATTGATTATTTCAATGTCGTATTGATTTTCTATTCTTATACCAAACTCCTTGCTTGGGTAGTGGATTTTTCCTATTATAAACAAAGGTCTAAATTACTACTTAATGTTCCTGTTTTGATTATGGTATGTCGGTCAGCAACACGAAAACTCCTACAGCTTGCGGTGGGGATGGGGCCCCTATCTCTACCTTAAAACAAAACCAAAGGTTTAGTAAACGTTACTTCACATTCGAACAATACGTTAACATTATGTTTACAGAGGTTGTACTAATTTTGTTGGAATTAACAAATTTTGATAAGTTATTCCGAGAAATCCTAAGGGATTAATATATCATCAGGTTATGGGCCCAGCGTGATTTGTGAAGTTCGTGTTCTTCGTAAGAATCACGTTCAGGTTCCTCTTTTTTGAAAATGGAAAAGGTAACGCTTTCGAAGTTCGAGGAATTCTAAGGGATTAATAAATATATCATCAAATTTATACTTTATATACAAATCATCAATTGTGTTTATTGACTATGTACAAAACTTTGTACTACAACAAATAATTATTGCCGAATACCTGGATCTTGAGAAATGTAAGCTTTGAATCAGGATTGTATTGTTGTATGGAAATTAGTGGAGGTCATTTTAAGCCATATATTGGTTAGTTTTTGGGCTTTTATTAATTTTTAAACTTTAAAGCGCGATTTGTCTTCTACTTCTAGAGATACAAAGCCGTTTGGGGCAAATTTATGCAAAATTATATGGTGATTAATTTTCCCTTCCAAAAAGTCTTGTCTACAAATAGCGAATTATGACCAAAAAACTGAAAAATGTCATTTTCGAGAATAAGTTGGCATCCATTTATTTTCAAAGATATCAACAAATAATTTTAACAAAAGTTTGGTACATTTTTCTCAACTTTCTGACGGTGCTAAAAAAGTTGTTATGGCCCATAAAATATTATATTTTTCAATCAAGTCGGATATTGCACCCATAACATCAACGGCTTTTATTCGTTTTTAGTTCATTCGAGATCCCTTCTTTTATAGCACATTAGCAACATCATACATCGCACACTGGCAACATTGCCCAACATCAATGCTTTCATCAGCATAAAAAGGCGAACTTACCGAATTGTAGATACTTTCTTATTGGTGTAAGAATTGATCAAATACGATTGTACATAAAAATACCTAATATAAATATTTTAAAGGTAAATATTTGCCTCAAACACATCAAGGATCTCGCGCCCCCCTTAACAACGCCTTGCGCCCCCCAGTTTGAGAAACACTGCTTTAGACTCTTGAAAGTTTTAAGACTATTTAGTTGTTTTAAAGTCTTCGTCATTCGACTGATTTCTATTTAAAATTTTTGATTTTTTTCGGTCTGTTAATCGCGAAACTTTAGTGAACGACTGTATTCAAAGACGTCCCTACAAGCACTTGCAAATCGCGTTCCCGCGCCGTACAATATACTGCACATCTTTCTTTTTAGTGCATCTTTCTTAATTAAATGAAAATGTTCAATTATTTATTACTTATTTGTGTTTTTACGGTTTTGAAATACAACTTTTAGGAGAATGATCCAAAAATCCTGACATTTTTTGCAATAGATAGCCTGCGATAATCGGTTTGTGTTAAATTTTCCATACGCATGACTAGCGATGCCAAGGAGAAGTTACATCGTCTTTCATACAGTATTGTATTTAACCGCTGTTTGATTAACCAAACTTTTGATTATCCGAACCACTACCGGTCCCAATTAGTTCGGATATTCTTTTTGATACACTGTGGCCTTCAAAATTTACGAAATTAGAAAAAGGCATCCCTTGAAACCATCACCGGCGCCATCATAGCCATGTTACTTCAGCAAGATCTAGTTACCCGTGGATGTTCTTGTTGAGAAATGGATGTAAAATAATTTTGAAATTACTCATATAACTGCATGTTTAATTATAGAGTTAATATTAATACATTGAATTAAAATAAAGAAAAGATAAAGAACGGAGTGGTCACCCATCCAAATAGTAACCGGGAGCGTTTCTTAAATTTAGACAATAAATGAATGATTAAGTAATAAGTATTAGTAATAAACGCTTTTTGGTTTGAGAATTGTTTTAAACAATGGTTTGAGCTAGGAAACTGTTCTGTCAAAAATTTGGTGGCATAACAATTTGCTCCTCCCCCTCGATATTTTTTGGATTTTTGTAAAAACATTTATAATGTCAGGTTTGTATGGGGATGTACCTGGAAGAAAAAAAAATGGGAATCTTGAGCCCCCCACAGTTAAATTTTAGGCAAAATGACTCTCAATTTTTTTTTAGTTCTCAGTTGTAAGACAAAGATAAAAGCTAAATCGTTGGCTATATTTACATTTTTGTGGTTTCAAGACATACCATAATTCTTAATACGACTTTGTTTACGAAAACCTATTAGGTAGCTCGTCTATGTCGTAATTTTATCTTTATCGCCCTTTTTTTATTGAGGTTAAAATTGCGACGTCAAACCATAAACATCCAAGTTCCGTGGCAGGCGGAAACAATATTCGCCTTGCCTATGGTCAGGGATTGGATTTAAAATTAATTAACGGCCCTCTTGATATATATTGTGTTCGTGATGAGATCGCTATTGGGTTTCGGGTTACCTCTGTATATCATTTGGAGTTCCCATTTAAGTTTTCTACTAAATAAATGGCTCTCTAAAGGAATTACTTTTTTAGTACCTAGCAAAATTGATGAACAATACGCATTGGAAAGTGCGGTGTGGTGTGGTGAATACTTACATCTTGGAAATTTGCTCATACGTTTATGCGCACAAATCAATGTTCAAAACCGCTGATCATTTCTATAATACTAGAAATAAAAAATTAATACAAGCAACGTCCCACAAGACATCACTTTTTGAGAAGAACTTTTGCTACAACGCAACTAAAATTTTTAACTCGCTATCACGTTTTATTAATACGTCCTCGAAAAAAATAAACTATACCTACCTAAACAAAATTTAAAAGAATTATTGGTATCAAATTGTTTTTATAATATGGACGAATTTTATCAATTTGTAAAACCCTAGTTTAAAACGTATTTGGCTTATTGTAAATCTTTTGATGTTTACTTTAGTGCTTTCGCAAGAACCGCACTAAAATACTAATAATTATAATTATTATTATTATAAAGTGTTCACGCAGTATCATGTCTTCATTTAATTGTAGATTGTAGAATCCTCAATCCCTAAAGTAATGCTAAGTTAGTGAAAAGAAAATTATTGGGAAGGGAAACACACGTAGACATGTATTTCTCTATTTAGGTATTCATTAATTATGGTAGTTAGTGTGTATTTGCGTATGCGAACAAAGCATCTCATCCTTTATAATCTCTCGTACATTTCGCTGTTCTGCAGTAAAAAAGATCATGTGATAGTACTTTATATTATAATCTAGTGACCTTGAAGCAGATTAATTAAGATTCCAAACTATTTTTAAATAGTAATTTTCATACAAAATCGCATGTTTAC